CTCAACTTGCACACGGGTCCTCTCTTATAGTAATAATTATTACCAAACTTCATTACAAGGATTCCCTACCACCTCGTTGAACTTATTTTGTCCGTTATATTTTTATTTGGTTAATTTTGTGGGAACAGTGATGTCAAGAATTGATGAGGAGCAGCCATCGTGGTAAACCCCCATCTGAGTCCCTCCCCCTACGCAGTAGTAAATATAGACTTAACATTTACTTCAGTAAGTAGATTCTCTGCAGCATTGCAACCTCAAGATGAATGACCACTATTAATCAGCTGATTCAGAAATGACAACTCCCACATAGTTTTACAGGGGGTTGACAAAGTATTTTTGTCATGTTGCAGCGAAAACAGCTGTTTTCAATTAATGTATTTTTGGTCTAAAATAGCTCTTTTTCTCCTTAGGAAGTAAAAATTTGCTGAAGTTGATGGCGTCAGCTTTACGCTTTGTCGTCTGTTAACTTCGAGTGTAAGCAAACAAAATTTATCAAAGTATGGGTATTGTTTTCAAACATAGTTCATTGTTGTCGACTGGATTTTAAGTTGTTTACGTTTAATCAAAGAAATTGGATGATACGGGAAACAGTTTAAAATTCAAGAAAATTATTTATACTGTACCTATATCAATAGTTTGACATATATAGATATCTATTGATATTATAAAGAACAAACACAATTATAATTGACGAAGGATTCTATACCTTACGTACTGAACAGCTGCTTGCTCACAATTAAAAAATTGAAAACAAGTTAAAAATAATTTTTCCCTGCAGTTACCTGATAAAGTGGGCTTCCTTTTTGAATTTACTTACTTTTGCCGCACTCCAGTATTCCAACCACACAACACAAAACAGCATGCTTCAATAAGGCACATAAATATGTGCATGCTTGAAAATAGACTACGATCATCTGGTGCAGCGTTTCCTATTTCATTCATCCCTTGGATTTAACACAACCTAAAAACATGTTGTATAGTGTTTGAAAGACTATTTATATGCTTTATAGTAACTGTATGAAAAATATAATGTGTAAGGTGAGTGCAAAGTGCCTTTGCTGCACTCGAGAAATTTTCCACACTCATGCTCATGTGCAGCCAAGTGCCACTTAGCACACTATAGTTTCACAAATAACTATTGGGGACTTATCTTCAAATGAGAAGAAATTTTTGTTTTCTAGCTTACTTCTCTTAATAGTGGTGTAATATGACGGGAAAAACAGTTCATCTCACGAGAAAAAGGTGTTTTTTTCATCAGAAAACTTGAGCTTGTGTCTAAAAGAGTCTCTTTTCACCCTAGTGATAAAATATACTAATAGAATTGTGATAGTGTTATTATTATCAGTAAAACACACTACAACAGAAGCTCCAATAATAAAATTCCCCCATCTCAAAAAACATTTTTTTTAAATTCTGATGTTTCTCTAAGTTTATCGGCAGTTCATTTGACAAAGAGCTGTAGAAAAAGTATATAAAAAATCAAACTAATCAACATGATGCACAGGTAAATCTCAGGTCAGCTGATACAAAGCCCCAGGTGACTACCTGACTTGTTATTTGACAGTTCAGAGGTCATGATTGGGGTACAACATCATGGACGTTTGGGTAGTAAAGTGGACATGCTGTTTATAATGGACCAGCTGTCACCAACTTTAAAATGTTGAATGAGTCAGAATGTAGTGTTTAAATGTTATTTCTGACCTTATTTTTTGTTTTATGGTATTTTGTGAAATAAAATAAGTTTTAGCTTACAATTAAGTTGTCCTACCAGTTTGACTTGGTTGCAAAGTTGAGTATTTAACAGAAACCAGTAATTTACATCAGCTTGATCGATTGGTGGTGATCAATTTAACTAAGTCAATTTCAATTTTACTGGCAACAACTTTGTCTGTTGAAAAATAACTATGCGTAGTTCTATCAAATAGTTAAAAGTACAACCATTGGCATTAGTAGTCAAAAGTCAATGTTACAATATAATAACAGCTGATATATATGAGAAGTCAGTGTGCACAGTTGGTTGCTGCCTCTCGCTTCAGGGATATAACAGCCGGCATTGATTCCCTTTACAAGAACAGAATCAAATTTGACATTTGGTTTCATATTTCGTTACACCAATCTCTCTACCACAACCCGTGCATTTATCCAAAGCTGTAAACGCAATAGAATCGATACGTTCCAAGTCCCTGTCAATTACGTTTTTGAAATTTGTATTTCCTTTCAAGTTTACAAATAAAGAAAGATCAAATACAAACTTGAGATCCTCTGAAAGGAGAAAACATTGTTAAACACATAACTATCAGTGGCAAAATATACTAAGAATGTAGTGAGCGATATTTGGGTGTACTGTGAATAGGTAGTCTTTTCTTGACTAACCTAATCAGACATTAGAGGACCGAGGTTTTGTCTGGTCTCTTCAAGAAATGCACAGTGATCACAGATTACCACTACTGCACTAATGCAGGGGAGCGAGCTGGCGTAGTGGTTAGAGCGCGGGACTTCAGTCCCTGAGGTCCCGGGTTCGATCCCCGCCAAGTCACCAATGGATTTTATCTAAGTGATAATGTCGCAACCCCTAGGTCTAGCCTGAAGTAATGTGAAAAACAATCCCAGGCTCGTGCCTAGCGTCATTAGGACAAAAAAAAACAAAAAAAAAACAAAAAAAAAACAAAAAAAAAACTGCACTAATGCAACTAATCTGACACTAGTATTGATTGGTTATTTCTGCTATTTAGTAAGGTTTGTCGTTTTAAAAATCAAATCTCAATTACCACAGTATTTTCTTTCAATAACCTACTTATCTTGCACAATCAGGAGACTAAAATTATACTAACCGATGACTTTCCTCCATTTAAGTGTAAATACCCCCGCCGCAGCAAACCTGCCGTCTAAGAGAATTTCCATTTGGCTGAATTGATTTTCAATTGATCTATTTAAATAACATTAGGTTTAACGAGTACCTAGGTTTGCTACTACAAGGAATCTAATAAAGTGTGTGTTTTAAGTAAAATAATTATTATGCTTTGTATTAAATGAATATATTTGCCAAGTTTGATCAAAAGATATCCATAAACAAGCAAACAACAACATTTTACAATATTCTCCATAAGAATAACATGGGAATTTTAAATTTACCATTTTTTAGTTTTCTCCATAATCAATAACCGTACAAAACACTTTGGTATACTGAATTGTTTTTTTTAAGCTCTTTAAGAAGGTTTAGAGAAAATTTGGGAAATTTTGTGTTTTGAGGGTCAAAAGTGAGAAAAACCAATTTTACCCCATAAAACCCTGTTCCCATGGTCCGATCATGCTGGATCGCGATCTCATTTAAGTTTATCCCGCCTTATACCTTCAAACCAAATTTCATCAAAATCGGATAAAAATTGCTCAAGTTATCGTGTTCACGGATATATATATATATATGTATAAATCTATATATATATATATATGTATACATATATAAAAATTTGAATGAATGGTGTTTTTGGCCTCCGGGGACATCAAAATGAAAAAAATAAATCGGTCCCGGGCCTAAGTCTTACCATGAGACCTACACGGTAATAGCTACTTCCCTATAGGGAAATTCGCTAAAAACAGTATTGAAATTTCAAACAAACGTATGCAATAAAATAATCGTCCAACAGAGGTCTAAACTACCAACGAAGATTGCTAGCTAGAACCTACTACTTACTATTTAAAAAAATAGTCAAAATTATATTCTTATTCCGTAGATTTGCGATAGATGAACTAATTGAAGTATAACCGGTTGTATTTAAATACTTGCACAATAGGTAAAGGGGCAATCTACCTCTACTATCAAACATAAAACGAGATTTACGATCTCAGTAACTGCTAAGTTCAGGGACGGAGTGGTTTGAGATTGAAAAGAGATGTTGTACCTCTTTGGTGTTTTAACTATTTTCCAGATAAAAGGTTAACAATAACGGCTTACGATTTGGAGTTGTATTATATTATCAAAGACTTTGGTGAGCTGATTGTTGTATAGTAAGAACATGTTATTTTAAGGATTGGTTTGAATTACGTATCTCGTAGGAACATAAAATAATTTGTATGAAAACCGTTATTCATCAATAAGAAGGTAATAAAAAAGTAAGTGAGAAATAAAGTTATCTTTTAGTAATTTCTTAAAGAAAATTAAAAATAATTGATTATTTTAGTAAGATACAATAAACTAAATGTTATCCACATTTAAGTATTTACACAATATAGCTGTTAGTGAAAGAGCGCAAAGTATGTCATTTTGCGCTCGAGAATTGTAGATTGTCGCACGAAGCTTTAGCTGAGTCATCAGCTGATTTAGCGATCGGGAATAATCCATTCCCGCTCTAGAGCGGCAATGAGCTATTTTGCGTAGGTACTGTTAACAGATGTGGTAATGTGTGTACACGTAGTGGTATGAAAACATTATTTTACTGTTTTAAATAATGCGATACTATATTATACTTTATCAACATTAATAATATTAAACTGAAGCTTATGAAGAATGGAATCATGCTACGGTAGCAAACTATTTAGGCCCCTACGTATTTAAGGACACATAGTATTATGTACAATATCTGTAGGTTTTTGGGGCTGGTTTCAGAATCCATATATTTTTATCGTCAGATTTAATTCGCTTTAACTCAATCGCTCTTGACATGGAGATACAACCTTGAGGGGGTATACACTTAAGTTTCCAATTCACGTTGGGGGCGAGAGATAATTTAATCTGACGATGTGATCGACGCAGCCAAATCTATAAATGAACATTATCACACTAATAACATTTGTTACCATACCACCGACACGTCGCTTGAAGCTAAAATAAAAGTTGGGAAAATCACTAAATACATCGTCAGTTCCCAGCAATGTAACTGCGCAGCTGAATTTTCCCGACGACAGGGTATTTCTCCCTGTTTCCCCTCCCGGTGGGTAATCCCACCCCCGCCGTGCTGGGAGTCGCTTGGCTTGAGGGTGAAAAGCCCAGTCTTGCAGCTGCAGCCGGTCTGTGTTGGTCTCTAAATCGTTGACCAAATCCGCCATCATTTATTGCTGGCTGAGCACTTCAACTCCTACGGCACGGCCTAGCTATGTCATGCCAAATGGAGGAAAAAAGGGTAAATACAACTATGTTACATGTGTGTATTAATGTATTTAATTTTCCAGCATTTGTATTAAACACCGTACTTCGGAAACGAGTACTTCGCAATAATTTAATAAAATCTGAGATTGAAGTAATCGGGTTGAATAAAATTTATTACTCTTTACTAAAGGGACAAAATGGGTGTTAAAGGGTTAATTAAAAATAAATATTGATTTAATTTCAAGTGTTGCTTTGGAAACGGCGCCATTGTGGATCAAGGTGGGACAAACCATGTCTCCGTGATCTGCCACAATACACCACCCACTGAGCAACACTCTACCTGTTGTGAGGTGATCTTGGTTTGCACAAATGAGTTTTTATAATTTGTACCGTATATAAGTATGGATTCTGTGTACCATCTATGTTCAATTAAAGATCCTTATTGGTATTGACAACACAATGGGTGGGTTTACTATAACGAGTCCAACATCGACATAATCTGAAACTTGATACGGAATTGCCTCATTTACTCGTTCTCGTGAAAAAAAAACACACTTAAACACTGTGTGATGTTAGTTTCAATGGATTTGCCATAAGCATTTAGAGATTTGAGAGATGAAAAATATCCGTTTAATGCAAATCAGGAAAGAGACAAAATTGGGGTCACCCAGTTGAGATTAAACGTTTACTTTTAATAAGTTCGAAAACGTTATGGAAATTATGGGTTTTGTGTTTTATATATTCAAAGATTTATATTTACTAGTGGTCGTCCTGTGGTCGAAACTCGACCAAAAATAATTAATGTACAGACTTCTCTATTTTCTCCACACACTGTAAATAAAACATGTGATTGGGATTTCTTCCATTTGTTTTGATTTTCTGTTTACATTTTGTTGTTATTTCGTCACCATCATGGCAACCCAGTTGGTCCATGTTAATTTTTTGAAGTTTTCAAATTCGTTTTTTGTGCTTATTTTTAGCCTATTTTAATTTATAAATGGATTCTGCACATCTACAGGCAAATATCTTTCTAACAGTATGCGTAGATTTCCCCTGCGATGCACACGAGCTGGGGAAAAGGTTTTAAAGAAACATGCTTGCCTATTAATATATAGATAGATGATAAATTCTTGTGAATACGATAGCGTTTCACAATCCTATTTTTCTACGGAATTGGAAATCAATACATCCCGTGTAGTTTCTAATTAAACCATTTCCATTGCGTAGACTTAAAATCGTAGGCAAAATCAATGTTATGAATTATTTTGTTCAATTAATTCTAGGTCAATGCCATACGCAATTTTATATCTCAATAATAAGATTTTAAAGACAATGAGAGCCATGACTTTGTCATTTTACAATTAAATGTTGTGTTTTCCCTCAAAATATATGCTAATTCACCGATCCTTTGTTCCCTAATAAATATGATGGCTTCAATCGTTGACTATATATACCTACTGTAGGTATATAGTCAATGCTACAATTTTACCTGTTGGCAGTGCTATGTTTAGGGGTTTGCTTTACTTATAAATTCATGACACCTGTTTGGCTGCGGTCTGTGAATAGGTGTTTATCAAACTAACATGCCAGTGTAATAAAAAAAATACAGCTATAGTTCGGCCGCTTAGAAAGCGACCTCCTCCAGCATTGGTTTAGCATTACCGGTAGCGCGCAGGTCGTTTTCTAAGCGGCCGAACTATAGTGGGGAACTTTTATACTTATTTACATTTATTTATTGAACAAATACAGCAGCAAGTTTGATACTTAAATAAACATCATGGTACTTTATAAGGCATTCGATGTGTTTTAATCCTCTCCACAATGTAGGATTACAAATTATATAGGATTAATAGGTCAATTTAACATCTCCAAAACATAAATAAATTAACGGTCGTGTTTGGGCTTCAAATATGAATGGCAGTTTTATGGAGTTTCTTCTCCATGGGACATCGCAAAATTCCAATAAACCTTCCACATTTGATCAGTAGTATAGTAACTAACATACCGCACTCAACTCTTTTCCACCTGGTCATGTTTTTTTTTTTTTATTTTCCTCTGATAATTTGTACTCAATACAATATCTACGTCCCCCAATACTTTTCACATATAGGGAGGGAATAAGCTATTACCGTAGGTCTTGTGGTAACATACAGCCTTGAGTCGATTTACTTTTTTATGTATTCAGAGGAAAAAAACATCCGTCCAGATTCATATATCTATTTATGTTAATAAATTAATTAAATAATATGCCTAGTATGTGTGAGTTAGCACGGAATTCCTCTCTAAAATCATCATATTCTTACCCATTTTGACCCCCCAAAACATAAATTAAATATTAATAAAGTTTATCAATAAATTTCCTTCTAAACTATTTTGCAGAACTTTTAAACAAATATTTTGTTTGTACATAGAAGCGTAGTCGTACCATTCCTATAACAGAGAACACTCCAAAAAGCTGTAAATTAATAATTACCATGTTCTTCTTATGGAGAATAAATAAATTGTTGTAGTTTGCTTAGTGGGTTATTTAAACACAAATAGCAAACTTGTATATTTCATACTAAGCTATTTACACTCCACTAAAACTAATCTTCATTGGGTTCCCTGTGGCAGCAAACCTAAGTACTAATTAAAATTAATATGTATTAGAAAATAAATCACACTTATTTAAGGGATTTATTGAAAATCAAGCAGAGGTCAATCGAAATTCATGTAGACTGCAGGTTTGCTGCGGCGAGGGCGGGTGTAATTCAAGCTGCTATTGTCCTCACGTATCGCGCTCACTGTAAAATTCGCACCGAAATTACACAATTCGTCCACATGAACGCATTAATGCGTTATCGGACTTATACCCGATTCCAAAACAAGGATTTTAAAACATTAAAGTTCTTTTGCAGTATCCAAAGTTAATGACAAGCACTAGAGTTGGGAGGGGAAGGGAGGAAGGAGTTTTCCTCAGTCTTTATTTTTCTGTTTCCTCAAGATGAGTTGAAACAAGTGGGTACTTGGCTTTCTCTGTATCCTCAGGCTTATCACATTTTCATCGTTTTGGCAAAATAACGAAAACATTTTCTTCTTGGATGTAGAAATAATGGTTTACAGTACTACTATTTAACTCAAAAACTATTTTAACGAAAAAACGAACTATTTAATGCAATAGTTAGTTTTGTCTTTTCTACACTCATGTTTCACTTATATTTAGCTTAAAATACACATATCTTTCCAGGGACGATGTTGGTTACAATCACCTGCAATTTATTACGAGTAATTACTATTATTAATTGTTTAATTAAATCAATTAATTAATTACTATACTTGGGACCCTTCTATGGCGTTGACTGTGTTATCTTTCATAAGTAACCGTTTGGCTATAGCCTATATTAGCCACGTTGGTCAACTGAAGATCATCATTATTAAACATATTCTTTGATTATAGATACTTTACGACAAAGTGGATATTAAAATCTCACTTTTAAAGTTGAATCCATTTAGAAATGGTCAAATTCCTTCGATTGAGCCACACATAGAATTTTTCTTATGAAAAATCCATTTGATTCCTTTTACACATTCAAATATGCAAAAATAAAATGGGATGCTTACGGTAAAGTTTGTATAAATTATCGGAAAATAGAACTTCAACAATCTCCCTTTATACAGGCCATCTTGTAAGTAATCTGTCAAACTCGGTGTGATGGTAGGTAAAATGTTGAGATTAAACGTTTACTTTTAATAAGTTCGAAAACGTTATGGAAATTATGGGTTTTGTGTTTTATATATTCAAAGATTTATATTTACTAGTGGTCGTCCTGTGGTCGAAACTCGACCAAAAATAATTAATGTACAGACTTCTCTATTTTCTCCACACACTGTAAATAAAACATGTGATTGGGATTTCTTCCATTTGTTTTGATTTTCTGTTTACATTTTGTTGTTATTTCGTCACCATCATGGCAACCCAGTTGGTCCATGTTAATTTTTTGAAGTTTTCAAATTCGTTTTTTGTGCTTATTTTTAGCCTATTTTAATTTATAAATGGATTCTGCACATCTACAGGCAAATATCTTTCTAACAGTATGCGTAGATTTCCCCTGCGATGCACACGAGCTGGGGAAAAGGTTTTAAAGAAACATGCTTGCCTATTAATATATAGATAGATGATAAATTCTTGTGAATACGATAGCGTTTCACAATCCTATTTTTCTACGGAATTGGAAATCAATACATCCCGTGTAGTTTCTAATTAAACCATTTCCATTGCGTAGACTTAAAATCGTAGGCAAAATCAATGTTATGAATTATTTTGTTCAATTAATTCTAGGTCAATGCCATACGCAATTTTATATCTCAATAATAAGATTTTAAAGACAATGAGAGCCATGACTTTGTCATTTTACAATTAAATGTTGTGTTTTCCCTCAAAATATATGCTAATTCACCGATCCTTTGTTCCCTAATAAATATGATGGCTTCAATCGTTGACTATATATACCTACTGTAGGTATATAGTCAATGCTACAATTTTACCTGTTGGCAGTGCTATGTTTAGGGGTTTGCTTTACTTATAAATTCATGACACCTGTTTGGCTGCGGTCTGTGAATAGGTGTTTATCAAACTAACATGCCAGTGTAATAAAAAAAATACAGCTATAGTTCGGCCGCTTAGAAAGCGACCTCCTCCAGCATTGGTTTAGCATTACCGGTAGCGCGCAGGTCGTTTTCTAAGCGGCCGAACTATAGTGGGGAACTTTTATACTTATTTACATTTATTTATTGAACAAATACAGCAGCAAGTTTGATACTTAAATAAACATCATGGTACTTTATAAGGCATTCGATGTGTTTTAATCCTCTCCACAATGTAGGATTACAAATTATATAGGATTAATAGGTCAATTTAACATCTCCAAAACATAAATAAATTAACGGTCGTGTTTGGGCTTCAAATATGAATGGCAGTTTTATGGAGTTTCTTCTCCATGGGACATCGCAAAATTCCAATAAACCTTCCACATTTGATCAGTAGTATAGTAACTAACATACCGCACTCAACTCTTTTCCACCTGGTCATGTTTTTTTTTTTTTATTTTCCTCTGATAATTTGTACTCAATACAATATCTACGTCCCCCAATACTTTTCACATATAGGGAGGGAATAAGCTATTACCGTAGGTCTTGTGGTAACATACAGCCTTGAGTCGATTTACTTTTTTATGTATTCAGAGGAAAAAAACATCCGTCCAGATTCATATATCTATTTATGTTAATAAATTAATTAAATAATATGCCTAGTATGTGTGAGTTAGCACGGAATTCCTCTCTAAAATCATCATATTCTTACCCATTTTGACCCCCCAAAACATAAATTAAATATTAATAAAGTTTATCAATAAATTTCCTTCTAAACTATTTTGCAGAACTTTTAAACAAATATTTTGTTTGTACATAGAAGCGTAGTCGTACCATTCCTATAACAGAGAACACTCCAAAAAGCTGTAAATTAATAATTACCATGTTCTTCTTATGGAGAATAAATAAATTGTTGTAGTTTGCTTAGTGGGTTATTTAAACACAAATAGCAAACAATTAATTAATTACTATACTTGGGACCCTTCTATGGCGTTGACTGTGTTATCTTTCATAAGTAACCGTTTGGCTATAGCCTATATTAGCCACGTTGGTCAACTGAAGATCATCATTATTAAACATATTCTTTGATTATAGATACTTTACGACAAAGTGGATATTAAAATCTCACTTTTAAAGTTGAATCCATTTAGAAATGGTCAAATTCCTTCGATTGAGCCACACATAGAATTTTTCTTATGAAAAATCCATTTGATTCCTTTTACACATTCAAATATGCAAAAATAAAATGGGATGCTTACGGTAAAGTTTGTATAAATTATCGGAAAATAGAACTTCAACAATCTCCCTTTATACAGGCCATCTTGTAAGTAATCTGTCAAACTCGGTGTGATGGTAGGTAAAATGAAGAGAAGATCGATTATAATTTTTTTTACTCTTTGTTTACCAGCCGCCATTTCGTGTTGTTTACAAAAATTATATCTTTTAAAGATTTCAACTAATCTTTGAAAATGATGATGAAAATTGGCATATGTTAATGTACAACACACATATAAAACATTCAACTTGGTCAAATGTAAAATTTCAAAGTGGCATTTAAGCTTTCAAGTAATATTCCATGAAAACGACTCAAACAAAGTTGTACAGAACATAACATTAAAATCATTTGCAAATACAAGTCCAATATCACTTTGGTTTTTTTAATTCGGTTTATAACTAGTTAAAATATCCCAACTTATTTGGCAACTAATACACTACACAATTTAACATTTCTTACATGCAAGGTCCAATTAATTCTTTGACTATTTATCGACAAGCACATTATAAAATCTTGCGATCAAGATTACAATTACAACCAACATCTCACAGGAAAGACCTGAAGAGCCTAAAACTCTAAGATCACTGTAGATTTCGGTGAGGCCATCTGAGCTGATATAAGTAACAAGATAATCGTCACATCGAGGTAGGTATTTTCTAAACACCTCGTTGCTGTTGTTGATGTTGATGTGGTTGTTGCAGCCGTGTTTCCCACCTTGGAGTTGCACAGCCACGACCCACGGGCTGCGGCTCACGACCAGAAGGACAGAACCAAGAAGATGCTCCACCAAAACTCCAGGAGTAAGTAGTATCCCTCGTGACGTGATCATATTTGTCCCACCTCCACCTTCACACATTGGACGTCGGCTCTAGCTCGCAACCGTTGGTTGTGGCACCACTTAAATCCATTGGCAACTGGCGGGATATGAATCCACTACATTGCGCACTCAAGTACATCACTTTACCACTAGGCACTTGACGCAATCGTAATTTTTTAGTGAGTGATGGACCACTCTAAAAATTGTGCAGTTTTTGCGTAGCATGTTTAATCATTGGTTGTGTGTTTTGAGGTGGTTTTTGTTTTGTTTTTACTCGTGTTTAGGCCAATGGCATTTTTTATTGAAGTTCAAGTTACCGCAGTTCAAACGTCTTCAAGGGAATGCTGTCCAAACCCATTAAAGTTTTGCGAATTTGCTGGATAAAAACTAACCAACTTGCTGTAACAGAAATGTCGACAAACGTTCTTTCTTACATCCATTTGCAAACTTAAAAGCAGAGAGAAGTGGAAAGCAGTTATAATTTTTAAGTATTACACCACCTTTAACAGGGACTATATCGTTGGCAATATTTTCTTCCACGTGCGAAGATGTAGTTTTATAGATAGAATCAATATATGTAAAATTGTTCCAGTTTTCATGACCGCAGTACTGTTAATAGTTTGTAAACAAGTATTAAGTCGTCCGTCTCTTGACGTACTCAACGTTGTTGCATAAAGGAAATTTTCACGAGTGATAACAATCGCATGTTGAGTGACACATTTAGGTCATTAAAAAATGTACACGCCCTAATTAGCATGTCTTGTTGATATTCAATTTTCCTTACGCTCTTCCCTATAACAGCTTATTTCAGTGGTTGTTTGGAAAAAATAGTTTAACTTGTTAAAAAATATTGTCATTATTAAACAAGTTTATGTGTTTGTAGAAAATTGAATCAGCATTTTCGGTTATAAGATTATCTGCCTGTGTATAAAACTCTAGTTCGAAACTCGAGAACTCTGGCTTGAGAGTTGAATTAATTCATTTGTTTTAATTAATTAAAAACAGTTGGGGGATGAACTAAAGGGTTAAAATAGTACCATTTTGTTAGCGAATTTATAGAGAGATCGAGATTGAAGGGGTTGTGATAGTTTTCTGTAATGGGGTTAGTGTATGTTTTTCTGCCCCAAAGTGACGTATTTTCCTACCAATAATGGTTTAAACGTCATCAGAACGTTGATGAAACACGGCATTGTTTGTTAATTTACTTTTTACTCGAAACTATTTTACTGTTTATCCTTGTTAACGATTTACACGAATTCAAATTTTAGTCGTTAACCGTCGTAAGCTATGGATGTCAAACTGTTAAACAATTTGGGTCAAAGAGATGCTAAATTGTGTGGACTAAGCGAGTAACTTTTGTGTGTGTAAATTACTTTTTAACTAGTCTGTTTGCGACCAACAAAGCGCGTCAACTCGTTGGCCCAATTTCCACAACCCACTTTTAAAGGGTGGTTAAATACTAGTCAAAGATACTACCCTTCCCCACGCTCACTTCAAAACTTGTACGACATCGTGGTTCTGATATAAATTGACACTATATAGGTCGTGATTATAAAATGTCTGCATATTAGGTTTTAATTTTGGGATATGAAATCTTACTCTAAAATATTTGGCATACCGGTACTTAGTGTAGTATGGTATAGTGTATGTGTACCGTATATTTCACAACAGTTGTTAGAGCCAAACACAAAAAAAAATTGAAATTCGAAGGCACACATTTTGATTTTGGGGCCTTCCAATTTGCGGTCTGGTGCGGAAAGTTCCATAGGGATGGGAATGGGAGGGTTTCCGATTCTAGAATACTCTACTTAATGAATAGTGGATACTACACATATAGCAGAATATTCACCCTTCAGTCAATAATTAAATTTCATAATTTATCGTGGAATGATATCAAATAAGACCTACCGAGAAAACCTTACTCACCAAGTTTGTTAAACGTTGCTTTACTTGTTTGACTTGTTCACAAACTGATATTAACAGGGTTGTTGTTTTTTTACAGGCAGATCAGAGAGCAAGGATAGTCCGGACACGGAAAAGGCGGATCACTCTCAGTTTCATACCCATGCCGAGAAACATGGCCATACCGAAAAACACAGTCATACAGAGAAACATGGTCATACCGAGAAAAATTGTCATACAGAGAAACACGGACATACCGAGAAAAATGGCCACTCTGAGAAACACAGTCATGCAGAAAAACACAGTCATAATGAGAAACAATCCCACACCGAGAAACATAGTCACGCCGAGAAAGTAAAACAGCCGAAACCCAGCAAGTCATCGGACAAGGAGAAAGGTGAGACCAAATCAAATGTTTCTTCTTTTGTAAAATATTAATTTTAAGTTAGTAATTATAGTTGTGAAGTGTTGCCATGTACATTAAGTTTTAAAATACAAATCTTTTAGTTATCTGTCCGAATTTGTTAAAATACTATCACTTTAGTAAGAAAGGGTCTTTTCTGAAAGAGGGTACCACTATTTTACAATTCGGTGGTTGGGTTGGGTTACCTTATGTTAGGCCAGACCGGGTTAGGTTAGGTTGGTTTACTTTGTTATAATGCCAAACAAGGTAACACTTTACAAATACGTCAATTTGAATTTGCGATCTTTTTTTATGAAGAGTTTCTACAAAGGTGAAATTTGTATGTGTGTTACTTTGCCGTTATAATGACCAAACCAACCTAACATAACCTAACCTAACCGCCGCATCGCACTACAAAGAAGTGGCGGCCCTCTCTTTGAAAAGACCCAAAAAAAGACTACTGCTATTATAACTAATGTTTTTTGGCCCAATAATTTATGAATATCTTGTTTCAGATTCTAAGACGGACACGAAAGAGAAATAGCAGTTGGGATGTTGTGATTGTAGGGGGAGTGGGGGTAGTGCGAATGAGTGAACCAGCTGGTGAGAAGAAGTATACCAATGCAGTGTCAGGCCTAAACTGTAGCTTTACTCACTTCATCCATAGAGTAGAAACACTCGTACATAGAAAACAGTGATTCAGCATCCGTCATTTACAATATGTCTCATATAGCTTTGTATTTTACCACTGACTCGGGGACGCATAATTCTTATTTAAATTTCAGTTCCGGCATATAGGGCAAATGGAGTCTTTTGATTGGCTGATCCAGCAGTGACGTTATGACTTTGGGTTCAGTTTCCTAACTGGGCTACCCTAATATTGATTGAAAATATCGATTCGATTAGTAAATCTTCATTCGATGTTTTCATTATCAGCAAGTTTGGTTAGTTAGGTTAGGTTATAACAGTTTAATTTTATAATTGATATTTAAAAATATCGAATATCTACTTCGGCCATCAGTCATTGTTGGATCGGCCAATCAAATGACTCAATTCGCCCTATATGACGGATCCAATTGAAATAGAAATTATGCATCGGGTGCAAAAGTCTTTTCGCTTGTCTGTGATTATACATGGACAACGCATATGGCCATAGCCTTCTCTAAAGGCTCGTACAAGGCCTCAGCGTTGGTGTGTGGCAACGTCGTACCTGCCGATCTATTGCCATGGTAACAACAACGTGTAAACACACGTGGAAAAAAGCTCTATTATGAAAGTGTAAAAGCTGTTTCGGTAGGCCGGGGTTGCGATGTTGCCACGTCCCGCCGCGGCCTTGTATAAGAGGAGGCTATGTATATGCGTTTTCTGTGTCCGTTTCCAAACGGCCATGTTCTTTAAAAAATAGTTGTTTGACTGTATCTAGTCCTATTTAAATTAAGTCAACAGAAATAAGAATGAATTACACGCTGTCCTTGTTATTGTTGTTCTACATAGTCTACGCATATGGCCATCAGGCCATAGCTTTCTCTAAAGGCTCTACAAGGCCGCAGCGTTGGTGTGTGGCAACGTTGCACCGGCCTATTGCCTTTATAGGCTAATAACAAACGTGTAAACATACACATTCGGTAGGCCTGGGATACGGTGTTGCCATGCCTCGCTGCGCCCTTGTATTAGAGGAGGCTAGGCCTACATGTATATGCGTTTTCTGTGTCCGTTTCCAAGAAGCCATGTTTTTGGAAAAAAATGTTTGACTGTATCTAGTCCTATTTTAAATCGACAATCAGTCGTTTTAAATTAAGTCAACAGAAATAAGAATGAATTACACGCTGTCCTTGTTATTGTTGTTCTACATAGTCTACGCATATGGCCATCAGGCCATAGCTTTCTCTAAAGGCTCTACAAGGCCGCAGCGTAGGTGTGTGGCAACTTTGCACCGGCCTATTGCCATGATAGGCTAATAACAAACGTGTAAACATACACATTCGGTAGGCCTGGGTTGCGGTGTTGCCACGCCTCGCTGCGCCCTTGTATTAGAGGTGGCTAGGCCTATGTATATGCGTTTTCTGTGTCCGTTTCCAAGCGGCTATGTTCTTTAAAAAAATATTTGTTTTAAATTAAGTCAACAGAAAGAAGAATGAATGACACGCTGTTTTGTGTAGTCCTTGTTATTGTTGTTCTACATAGTCTACGCATATGGCCATCAGGCCATAGCTTTCTCTACAGGCTCTACAAGGCCGCAGCGTTGGTATGTGGCAACGTTGCACCAGCCTTTTGACATTATAGGCTAATAACAAACGTGTAAACATACACATTTGGTAGGCCTGGGTTGCGGTGTTGCCACGCCTCGCTGCGCCCTTGTATTAGAGGTGGCTAGGCCTATGTATATGCGTTTTCTGTGTTCCTTCCCAAGCGACCATGTTCTTTAAAAAAATATTTGTTTTAAATTAAGTTAACAGAAAGAAGAATGAATGACACGCTGTTTTGTGTAGTCCTTGTTATTGTTGTTCTACATAGTCTACGCATATGGCCATTAGGCCATAGCCTTCTCTACAGGCTCTACAATGCCGCAGCGTAGGTGTGTGGCAACGTTGCACCAGCCTATTGCCATTATAGGCTAATAACAAGGTAGGCCTGGGTTGCGGTGTTGCCACGCCTCGCTGCGCCCTTGTATTAGAGGAGGCTAGGCCTATGTATATGCGTTGTCTGTGTCCGTTTCCAAGCGACCCCTTCGCATTATGATCGTTAAAACATGTTATGACTGTACATGGTCCTATTTAAAATCGACAATCAGTCGTTTTAAATTAAGTCGACAGAAACAAGAATCGATGACACGCTGTTTTGTGTAGTGGTTATTCTGTGTTCTTGAGTATTGATTGTTGCTTAATTTGTGTCTGCTATTCCCTATCCCCTTCCCTAACCGATGAAGTTTGTGTTCAAAGACACATAGCTGAGTTGAATACACTGTGTATCGCTAAATTAGTCTAAGGTAAAATTTTAAGTCGATGTGGAAAAATTACAAATTACGATTAATTTAAAAGTGTAAACAAACCATTGGAAAATAAATTGTATAATCCAGCAAAATTATTATTATTGGCGTTATAAGTGTATAATTTGTGTTGATGAGTATTTAACTTTGTGTGATAATTCTCTAAAATGTACGGAAATATCTCGACACTGCTCTGTACTCTAAACATTGCTCATGACGAAAATATAAATAGGTAAATTTATTATATTTTAACATACATATATTGTATAATGCGTAACGATAGTCTAGCTTATGTATTTAATGTATTATTTGTGTAGCATGGTAAGTTAGCTAAGAAAATGTATTTGAATATATTATTATTATTTGCGATTATTTGAATATATATATTATTACTGTAAATAAACTAACTATTTACTTAGATCCCTCTAAGTACCATAAACTAATGTTGAATAACGTTAAAAAATCTTATTTCTATTTAATAGGATGCTATTAAATTTCCTTATAAGGAAGAAGCTTTTACCGTAGGTGGCATGGTAAGACGTAGACCCGGGAGCGATTTACGTTTGATGTCCCAAGAGGTCAAAAAACGATTCGTTAAAATGTATATACATGTCTATGTCACAAACTCCGAATTTTCATCGATTCATACATATTATTAATGTTTCTAACGATAATATATCGCAGGAACTATCCCCCATAGCCCCACTATTCTCTCTACCCTGTTGTTTCGAAATCCCCCCAACGTTTTGCCAACGCGTGAGTTTTTCGTTATATTAGCATGATTTGCACTGTCATTAGTTGATATAACAAACAGTTCAGCTCACTTCCAGTGCCAGTGTAAGGGGATTACTGTTCATAAGTCAAATTAATTTTTAAACGAAATAAAGAACCTTCTTACTACTTAAGCCGGTGATGTACGGATATCGTTTTGTATATGATCATGAGAAGATGATGATGAATCGTATGAGTTGGTGCAAATTTGAATCTTGTCATGTTTATTCACAATTTTGTACTTTTTGAATGCATCTTTAGACTGACTTACTGGCAAAAAACTTTCCTAACTGAATATTGCTTTTTAGATAAAGCAGTTTAGTATTAATTGTTTAGTTAAACAAAATTATTGATTTTCCGATAATAAAGATTTTTTTTATCATCCTTATCGGTTTTAAAAGATTCAGTAAAGGATCCTACATTTGTTTAAAAATCATGTTATGGCTGCTTGTTAATCGAAACTAATTGAACCATCCAATTTTTCAGAACAAACAGGTTTATGATAACTTTGTTGTGTTTGCTCCAGTAAATGTAACATCAACATGGCCAATGCGTATAATGTTGGGGGGTTGGGAAGTGGCTCGGTAACGTTGGTAGCGAGGTTGTTATCGACCAACACCCCTTACCTTCCACACGCCATCCGGGCCAACCCTCCAACCCTCCAACCCTACCCATCACGCTAGCTGAGGTATATAAATAGCAATCCTGCATAATCAGTCGGTTGCGTTGTGATTGGAGTTTAAAAGAGGAACCTTGAGTGTTGCTATAACAACTATCCGAGGAGGGGTTGCAACACAGAGGACAAGGGATTTTCCTTGCTTAATTTTCTAGGACGTTATCCTTTTACAAATTATTTCAGGCTAGATGGCTGCGACATTATTGCATACAATCCATTTGTGATTGATTGGGGAGCTGCGGGACTTCGTTCCCAGAGGTACCGGGTTTGAATTCTGTCAATGAAAAATTAATTCTAAACGGTAATGCCGCAACCCCCTCTGGGCCTATCATGAAGTGATGTGGAATACCGTTCGGGTAGAGACTAGCTCGGTCTCCAGCTGACCAATTGTGAAATACGTAACCTGCCAAAATATGTCATTATCTATTTACCGTTTAATCAGTAATCAACTACGAATTTTACCACCAAACGTGGTTTTATGCAATACAAAGAAATAGTTGCCTTAGACAACTTAATTTAGTAATTACTTAATTATTAATAATGGTTTTAATTAATGAACAACCTTTACAAAATTTGTTGTGAATAGGTCTAGGTGTTACGCAATACTGATTTAATCATGAATGCTTAACACATAATTCGGGTTTCTGTTATAAAACGTCAATCTTATAAGACATTTTGTAATATAACTCAATTTTTAGTGGTCATAACCATGGTATTGTCAAGAAGAGTTTTCCCTCGAGGAAGTGCGCGAAAAGTTATGAGACTTCCTCAGATTCATGTTCGTGTTACCATACTCAAGAGAACCCTTGTTAGACACAATATAGTATAAAACGTTTCTACACTAAGTAGGTACGGATAAAAATACGGTGCACTCAATAGTGTAAATATTCAGTGTGTTAAAATAAAATATGAACCGACGTTGTTGTATGACTATGATTGAATATAACGAATGTATGTAATTTATAGGCCTACATTTTTTCGTAATTAATTATGGGTTACGATTGTTTACGATACCAGTGGTAGTAACTGTAGTATCTTTAAGTGGTACGTTTCAAAACTCTTCGCAGACTAAGCTCAATTTTGCCAGAACTTTCTAAGCTAGAAATTGTCCGTTCAACCATTTTTCCTGTTATATACTATGCTCATCCTGCTTTTGCCTGTTACTCGGGAAAATTTGATGATCCTTACCCGGCTGCAGAACAGAGTGTTTGGATTTGTCTACAATCTGAAAAAAAGATCACACTAGCGAGTACAGATTGAGTGCCAAGGTGTTGTCAATCATGGGGTACTCCGACATACAAACTGTAAATCTGGTTCACAAAGTTCTTCAGACTGGAAAACTTGAGTACCTTAGGAAAAAGTTGGTGTTGTGGCATGACATCAATGAGCACAGTACTCAACAGGACAGCCTGTTGCACTTGCCAAAGACAAACCTGGAAACGGGGAAGAAGGGGTTTAGTTACTTTGGGCCAAAAAGGTACAATGCTTTGCTATCCACTTTAAAAGTTATAATAGGTTTAAGAAATGTGTAAAGAAATGTTACCTAAACTGTATAGATACTTTTACTTTTGATTTTATGTATAGATTATTGTATTGTTTTATTTACTTAATTTGACAAAAGTTGTAAAAAACAGAGTTTGTACTTTGATGAACGCTTGCAAATAAAGACCTTATTTATTTATTTATAGAATGCATGAATATTCGTGGTAGTTGGTAAAAAAAGAAACACGAGAAAAGATCTGCCAAAATTCTTTTTTGGTGCTGGTTTTTGAGGAATTCATGCGGACATTTCCATCATAATTAGTTATTAGTTACGATATTATTTGTTTTTTGCTAATGGGCATGCCATGCTAAAAAAGTTAATACATGTAGGTTATATTCCAAAATTAATAAAAGACTATAGCCTATGTTTAAAGTCTTAATTATATATGAGGCCTGTGCTTCTAAAATGAATTTACTTTGATAAAACCACTTAAAAAATACAAATCATGAGTTAAGAAATTGTTACCTTTATAAAATTCTAAACCTTGTTCGGTCCCAAAAGATATTTCTGGAAGATATTTACAATTTGAAAGATATTTACACATTAGTCTGTTAAGCTATTAACGTTTTAATTATATCGTTTGAACATGCCACCTCTGAAGAGAAACCTTCTATCCTCCTCCCCATTTTGAGTACCATTGCACTCAAAATGATTTGAGTACCATTGCACTCCAAACGATTTGAGTAGCATTGCACTCCAAACGATTTGAGTAGCATTGCACTCAAAATGATTTGAGTACCATTGCACTCCAAACGATTTGAGTAGCATTGCACTCCAAACGATTTGAGTAGCATTGCACTCCAAACGATTTGAGTAGCATTGCACTCAAAATGATTTGAGTACCATTGCACTCCAAACGATTTGAGTAGCATTGCACTCCAAACGATTTGAGTAGCATTGCACTCAAAATGATTTGAGTACCATTGCACTCCAAACGATTTGAGTAGCATTGCACTCCAAACGATTTGAGTAGCATTGCACTCAAAATGATTTGAGTACCGTTGCACTCAACATTATTTGAGTACCATTGCACTCAAAATTATTTGAGTACCATTGCACTAAAAATGATTTGAGTACCATTGCACTCAAAATGGGGAGGAGGCGTTTCATTAAACGTGCATTCAATAATCCCTCGATGGCTCTTTGACTTGTTTTTACATAACAGAGGTCGTCACTGGGTACAACAACAAGAGGCCACGGTATACATGTAAACAGTTCATATTATAGCTTTACCTTGTTTCAAAGGACAAATTAGCACTGAATTCCTAAAACCAACCGACTTCACAGAAACTTAACAAAACCCCAATCTACCCAGGAATGTCAGGCTTTAATTTCGTATGGGAATAATATATTTCTGCAAATTAAATTTCTGTTGAAAGTACACGTTCAAATGCTTACTTAGATCAAGTAGATCACTTTCGAAAAAAATCTGAGTTTGAATAGGACGTATTTTATTTTAAGAAATTTTCTGAAAAGTAGTTGATACTCCAGAGGTCCCAGGTCCAGGTTTTCCAAGTTCTACGGTAATTATTCCCTGTGTGGGAATTTCGCTAAAACCATTTTTGTTTGGCAGTATTTTAACCCGGGACCTGAGGGACCGAAGGCCTGCACCCGACCACTTGCTGTGTTTTTCAAAGCAAATCCTAAGTTTCCCCAGTTCGTGGACACTGGACAGTTATGGAAGGCATAAGTTGACAAATTGATTCTCGCTGGAATTTCAAGCTACAGTATAGTACAACCATCGAGGCTACAACCAGGCATTTTGATATTGGCAAGGGATTGTTTGAAAAATCGGTGCAAATGTCGATTATTTACAGCCAATATATACGACTTCCTAATATGTCATGTTGGAGAATAAGGATTACAGAATGAGAAAACTTGAAAATAAATAAATATATATTTACAGTTATTAATAACAAACTCTTACGAACTAACTAAACATCTAAGATATGTTAAAACAGTACATATTGCTATACGTTAATACTTTGGAGTCATTTCAACGGTGAAACAATATACAGACTTTGTTAGCTTCATTAGTACAAGAATACAAACCGTGGACCTAATCCATCCGCTATAAGCGGATTGCTTAGGATTGTCTTTTCCGATTCCCGCTGGTGGAAACGGCAAATGTTATTTAAAAAGGCTCATTACTGTTTGAGGATGTTCCTTTGATGTTTGCTAATCTGATTTTGTCAGATATTGTTGCAAAGTGACTAAATTTCATAGGGAAATATTTGCGTTTAATTGTTGTATTTAAAAAAGTAGTTAGAACACTCATTATTCGTATGATGTTAAACAAATGTTTTTGAACGTTTATGTTAGCAATGAGAAGAAATCTTTAACATTTAACATTTAATCATTAATTTTCCGTATATATTCAACAACGTATCTTTCGATTTTAG